GGGCTGCGGGGGTCGCTGGGCCTTGCTCGTGGGAAGCGGCTCCCGCTTGGGTTGCTGCTGCTGTTGTTGTTTTTGTTTTGGTGGTGGTGGTTGCGAGGGCGTAGGGTGGGGAGGGGCGGGGTGGAAAGGTGCGAGGCAGGCCGTGGGGCTGGTCCCGCCTGCCCTACCCTCGCTCCCACGGGCTTTGTGCTGCCTCTGGTTGCTAACGGAGACTTCCCTTTGTCGGAGCGCAGGGTGACCTGTGAGGAATCGCCTTCCCCGCAGCCTCGACTTTGGTTTCTCGTGGCCTAGCAAGAAGTGCTTTCCTTTCCCGAGCTGTTGGCATCTTCCTGCCAGGATTCAGTCGTTCCCAAAGGAATGGAGGAATGCAGCTGATAAGTGCTTAACCACCCTGCGCTTCTATAGGCAGTACCAAGCGCTGGCCTTCTTCCCTTTGGCAGTTTGGGGGTGGGTCTTTCCTATTTACGTGGTCTGGGTACCTTTTTTAGTGGCACTGTAGACCAGAGGAGATGGAAGAAAAGGAGCGATGTGATAAATTCCAGCCGGTATCTTGACACTAAGGAACCATATATTTTGACATTTTAAAATTGTTCTTTTATGTGGAGGGGAGGGAAATACTACGTTTTATGGGGTATGAGAAGAGGGAGGTTGCAGATCTTCATGTGGTTTTTAAAACCGGCTGTCAGAGGCAATTACTGAATAAACTGAAGCACAAGAGGAGGATTTGTATGCTGGAAGCAGCACTAGCCCACAAAAGGGGCAGTGGGCTGTTGTGACTGTGGAGGCAGGAACTTTAGCCTCCTTCATTTTTCACCACCTACTCCCCATCCACCCATCGAGAAAATGAGTTGTGTGCCATGGAAAGGTGACAAGACCAAATCGGAATCGCCAGAGCCATCCCAGCTACCACCACAGCATATTTACCATGAGAAGCAACGCAGGGAGCTGTGTGCCCTCCATGCCCTCAACAATGTCTTCCAGGACAGCAACGCCTTCACTAGGGAAACCCTGCAGGAGATTTTCCAGAGGTAGGATGCTCTCTGTACTGGCATTAGCTTCCCCTTGTCCTCTGCTGATGGGAGGAATTTTTGAGTGTTACCTGGGGGGAAATGGAAAGAAAAGGAGGGATTTGGACTGTGCCACTGCTTTAAGCTGAATGTATCTTATTTTTTTAACCCCAGCCTTTTTTTTTTTTTTCCTCCATGCAGAAATTCTCATTTTACTTGTTTCTTAACCTGTTCTGGCTCCCAGTTTTGGGTCCCAGAGCTTTATTGCAGATGCCATCATGTGGTTGGAGTGCTGTCTTCCTCTCTACTCACCTTACTGCCTCTTCTACCTGTCTTCTGTATTTTTGTCCTGCCTTGTGTAAATAAACTACCTAGATGTTAGTAATGGATTTGGGGATTACCTTGGGAGAATGAAGGTGGCAGGAATGACTAACAGGTCATCATAAAAACTTACTGACTTAGTACTGCAACACATGCAAGTTTTTTAGAAATTAGAAGTTCTGCCAAATGAGTGACTCTTTATTCAAGAGGTTCAGTGAAGTTCTTCAGACACTATGGGCTTTTTTTTTTACATGCATCAAGACTCTCTGTACTCTTTTAAGCTGGGTTTAATTTCAGTAGCTGGATGCCTGTTTCCTGTGGCAGTGCTAGATGTTTCCCAGCAGCTTCAGATAATGAATAAAGTGGGTTTGACTTTTACAGGGATGAATATAAATTATTAACGTGGCCTGTGCCATAGCTCATATTTTGCTCAGTGTTTATTTTATGGTGTTTTGATGCTTTATGGGAGTTCTCCTGTGTGAGCCTCTCTAAGTTCTGGTGACCCACCACTGATGAAGCTAAGGGGTGATATAGGAAAAGGGCTCTCCTCTGATACTCAACCTGCAGACATTGTAAACATTATGTAAGTTATGGTTGAATACCTGTTACCAGCAGTTGCCAGCATCTCGTGTTTTTTATAGGTAGGAGACCTCACATTACGGCAGCACGTGCTGTGGGGTGAGGCAGTCGTTGTAGCCTGTGCTGATGAGCAGGGAGCTGTGGGCCTGTTGCTGCTCTCCTGAAAACTGGCAAATTTATGAAACTGGTGCTTGACTCATCAAACTCATGCCTGTCTTTGGCAAAATAATGTGGTGAAGGACAATAGCAGGTGTCAGATTGAAATGCTATTTGTTATAGCTTTGTAGATAAAACTCCTGCTGGTGGAGTGGAGCTGGTCCATGGCAGGCTCAAGGCACTCTTTGTCCAGCGTAAACAACACTGTGGTTTTGTTCCAGAGCAGCAATTGTCAGAATCTTAATCACAGCTGGATTGCTCTTGGCCTGAAGCAAACAAAGGCAGTTCATGTGGTAGAAGGAGTGTGATGATCTAATTAGTTGGCTTTCATTGCATTTGGTGAGACAGAATTAGTGTGCAGCATGAAACCTCCCAGAAAAAGACTGGATATTAATCTTGTTGGACCTCTTTCCCTGGAAGGGAGACTTTGTCTTTTATTCCAACCTGGAGTTGTTCCATCCTAATATTTGGATCAAGATACACAGATTGATTCAGCCCCATGGTAGTATGGAAATACACATGGATGTTTCTCTTGGAAATGGATGATCTATAAGCTACGCATAAGAATTGCCACTGCCTTTCTCTTTCTGTTGGGTGACTACTTGTGTGTAGTTTGACTTTCCTTTAAGAAGTGTGAATTTAGTTGCCCTTTATATGTCTTTTCCTGTGTTCTACTCACATTCTATGTATTGATAAAGGACTGATGAATATTTTTAATAACCTGCAAAAATGTTGAGGTTGGATTTTAAAACCCAGTGTTGACAAAGTAACAAAATCACAAATAAACTTAAGCTCTCTAGCTTTTACCACATTCTTTGGAGAATGATTGAACCACATTGCTTAATCATTAGCTTCCCTTTTGCTGCATCCTATTGTGTAAGGCCAGGGTAGTCTGATGATTATCATCTCAAGCATATGCCAGAACTTGGTCTGGGCACCCCTCTGATTTTGTATTCTTTTCCTCTTCTTTCCTCTAAAACAAGAAATACCTTTTTGATGTTCCTCTGGCTTTTGTTGCAGGAAGTATGATTGCATGTTCCAAGTGTTGCATGGAGATACAAACAAAATCTCTTTGCTTCACTGGAGTCTGCATATTGAGAACTGATTAGGAAAGACAACTGCATGCAGGAATCTTGTGTTAAGACAACATGTTGATGAAAGTTTTTGATGTAGAAAGATTAAGAGGATTATTACCTGGATTTCTATCCAACTTTGTCAGTCTTCCTCAGCTCAGTAGCTAGATTAAAAAAAACAGAGCAACAATATAATTCCACTAATCAGAATCTTTCAGCTGATGATTGTGGACTCTGCTTAGGTATGTGTGGTTCAAGATGTTGAAGTGGTTCTTGGGGCAAGTTTGCTCACAGGTGCCAGTTTTTTGTTGCCCGTGCTGGTCACCTCATCGCATTTCTGGGGCTCTGGAAGTTACGTGAAGGAGCAAAGATAAATCTGTTCTTTCAGCTCTTGAATAAACTTGTCTCTGGAAAATGGTACCATGAGAGGGTGCTTCTGCAGCCCAAAGGGCTCTCTGAATTGTAAGGTTTTCCTTGCTCACTGGCGCTCAGGAGAGTTGGTAGGTTTGAAGCAATGATTTTGAGGAGTTAGCCATAGCCAAGTGATCTCGCTTTATGGAGATGCTGGAAGAGCTGTGACAAGCTGCAGGGTCTGTCTCTGTGATTAGTAAAATACACCCCCATGGTGGGTATTAACAGCTTGTCCTCTTACCATGGTGTTGTGGACTCCTCTCCCTTCTGTAGTGAACACACTTGCCAGATTCTTCTGCTGCAGACTGCTCCACTGTGGAAAAACTCACAGCTGAAGACAAAGGCTACCTGTCTGTAGCCTCTCCAGCCTTGGTTGCTCTGAAACTCCCTACCCAGTCCACTGCTTTCTTCTTGTCAAATGCTTTATGCTGTCAGGGTGTCACTGAAAACTGGGAAATAAACTTTGCACAGCTGGTTAGGTAAGAAAGCTGAGATTACTTTATTCAGCATGCTGGGTGCACGGGAATCGCTCCACCTAACATGTGTACCCAGCAGTCTACCAGTCATATAACCAGACCACATTATATGCATGAAACTAGTATATGGTCACTGCATTTCTATTACAAATGCATTATATTTCCTGAATTCATGCATATATGTTAATTATTTCCATGGATTTATTTAGATATCAGTAGGGGTCTTTTGAGGGTCTTTGGTGGCCATTTGGGAATATCCCATTCCCCAGATTTTCTATTGATGGTTCTGGATCCTCTAGTGAATCTTTTCACCTTGAGAATATCTCAAGTATTTTTGTCAGGTCATGATGCACTTCTCTTTTTCTTTGGCCTGGCAATCTATCTTTGTTCTCAAAACTAAGATTTGTGCTAGTACATCTTAATCACTGATACAGGTAAATAAGGAAGCGCTAGCTGGTACAAGGCTATTAGTCACAGATGTAGGGGGTTAACACAAAGCCACATTAATCTCTGGCATTTGTACAAAGTACTATATGGTACAAAATGAAGTGTTAATCATAGATATAGGGATCAAACACTATTGTGCTAAAGTAAAAAAGAATTAAGGAATTAAAAAGAATTAAAAACATCTTCTGCTACTGCTGCATGGATGCCTTTTTAAAGAAATACAATTTGTTGGGTAACGAGGGCAGGAATGCAGAAGGGCTGAGGGATTTTCAGTGGATGAAGTATGCCTGCAGAACATGCAGCATGCTAAAGGCTGACTGAGAAACATGCAGGAACATTAGGAGTTTTGGGGATGGAGCTGACAGGAGGAGGAGGCAGGAAAAATACAGATGTTTGGATGGTATGAAATCTGAACTTTGCAATGGTAGAATTAATGGAGTCCTTATCAATGGAAAGAGCAACTCATCACAACAGAACTCATCTGAGGCTTGACTTTGGATTTGCATTGCATGACTTTGTTGTTCTCTGCTCCCAGTTTCCCCCATACTTGCTTTTCCTTCTGTCATCATAATAATACATCCTGTTGTTTTCCCTCCTTACAAAATTTCTTGGGCGGAAGGGGGGAACATAAAACCATAGAAGTGGCTAACACACTATTTTGCCACACATCTCCGTGTTATGTTTCACATCCGTTATCTGAACTTGTGCAAAGGCTGTTGTATATTTTGGCATGTAACCTCATAGCAGCCCACAGCTTCCTCACAAGAGGAGGTGGAGGGGCAGGCATTGATCTCTCCTCTGGTGACCAGTAACAGGACCTGAAGGAATGGCATGAAGCACTGTCAGAGGTTAGGTTTGATATTAGGAAAAGGTTCTTCACCCAGAGGGTAGTTTGGCACTGGAAGAAGCTCCCCAGGGAAGTGGTCACAGCACCTGACAGAGTTCATGAGGCGTTTGGACAGTGCTCTTGAGCTCATGGTATGATCCTTGGGGCTGTCCTGTCTGTGACCAGGAGTTTGATTCTGTGTGGATCCCTTCCAAAACAGGATATTCTGTGATTATATGAATGTGATGGACTGTGGTTCTGCATTTTTAGATGCTGTTGTAATGCAAGTGATGTCTAAGCAAACTTACAGGTCGAAGATGAAGAGATTTGTTCACATCAGGATTATCTGTTTAGTTACCTACAGGAACAGATTTTTTTTATCATATAGCAACAGCAACACTTTAGAAATCTCCCAACCCCAAGTATCTTCACAGCTTTGTGTCTGAATACTTCTTTCATTTACCAGTGGAGGAGGAAAAAGAACAACCTTTCTGCAGCCAACCTCCCGTGCCTCTTTTACTCATCCAGTCTTCAAGGCTGGTGTTGACTGTTGAACTCTTGAAATTGTAATAGCCATTGTCCTAAATAGCAAATTGGTGTTTACTCCAACTGTAAATAGAGAAAAAATTCATAATTGAAGCATCCTTCAGAAATTCCAGTTCAAGGGGTCAGGGAGGAAGAACTTTGTGATTTCTTACGCATCAAAGGCAGGATTTTGGAGGCTTTGTACATCAGGGTTATTCGTACGGCATTACTTAGTTCCCTCAGCCCATTTGATGAAGGATAAGGGGGGGCGGAGTAGTTTGTGTTTAAGCACAAAACTCCTGAAAATTGATTTCAAATTATACAGCAAGTAGCCCCTTTCCAGTTGTGGAAACAGGTTCAGCAAGCATCTGTTAGAGCATTCTCTTCTGTCTGCAGGCTGTCTCCCAACACCATGGTGACCCCCCACAAGAAGAGCATGCTGGGGAATGGGAACTATGATGTGAACGTGATTATGGCAGCACTTCAGACCAAAGGCTACGAGGCAGTTTGGTGGGATAAGCGCAGGTACTGAGAATTTGTGTAATTCTAGAGGTGGCTACTGTTTGCAAAAATGAGGAGGAGATTGAAGTGAAAGCACCAGAACATAATCTGGTTGATGTTTTGTATCCTGTACTTTTTCAGGGATGTTAATGCCATTGCCCTGTCTAACGTGATGGGCTTCATTATGAATCTGCCCTCCAGCCTTTGCTGGGGCCCCTTGAAGCTCCCCCTCAAGCGACAGCACTGGATCTGTGTCCGGGAGGTGGGAGGCACCTACTACAACCTCGACTCCAAGCTCAAGGTGCCCGAGTGGATTGGAGGTGAAAGTGAGCTCAGGTAGGATTTCCTCTAATCCTTCCCTGTTGGAGGTAAGAAGTCTATCCTTAAGCAGTTGGCGATTGAAATATGTATGGTTGACCTTATACAGTAAAAATTGTGAAAGTAATGAGGTTCTTCTGCTTCCACTTGGATTGATGCCCCATTTGTGCAAAGCTAGGGAAGTGCTTTTGGCAGTGGTGTCTCTATGAGCTCAGGATAGCTTGACTTGGCCTCTTACATGTGTGCCTCTGTCAGTGGCGAAGGTAGAGGCCACCTCTGGTATTAGTGGGTGATACCTGCAACAGATGTGCTGTGCCCTGCTCCCTCCTCGATCATGACAGTACACTGAACATTCTTTGCCTCTTTAGTAACAATCTGTATGTTTCCAGCAAGAGGCTTTCCAGACTAAAAGTGCAGCCTTATCTGTGACAGCAGTAAGAGCTGTTTGCTAGGAATCACTTTTCCTATGTAAGCATATGCTGCCCTTGTGGCTTGGCTCCCCTCCCTCTTTAATCTTAACACAACATGGTCCTTGTAAATACTTTGTAAAGTTTCACCTGCTCTTGATAGCTGTTTAGCTTCCATTCCATTGTGCCATAAATCCTACTGGCAGCTTTGCTGCCTTCACTAGACTTGTTCTGAGATAGGGATTGCACATGTGCAGTGCTTGCAGAGCCAGTCGTACCATGGAAGTTTTGGTAAATTTCTGGGGTAAAGTAACTCTCTTATGAAACTACTGTGCAGAGGTTGTGGTGGATTTTATCCTAGGCATTTATTGTTCTTCAGCAATAAAAAAGGACTTTCTCTACTGGGAGTTTTGGAAACCTGGACCAGAAGATATTGGAGAAAATGTTGTTTTTCATATTTATTGGAAGTAATCAAAGTTTGGTATTAGAAAAAGCTTAGGTGCAGAAAGAGGCTAAAAAAACATGTCAAATGACTAAGTGGTACACTGCTGCTAAGGACATCTAAATGATGGGTGTTCTTTTTTTTACTAGAAAAATATTTTTTTCCCAGATTTGTTGGAATCATTTTAAGCTAAAGTGGGATTCTTGATCTTGGAAATATGAAGAAACTAAACTTGGTTTTAATTCTGTTTTCTTACCTTGGAAAGTAAGAAAGTGGCACCTATATAGACTCATCTTTGCTGAGGTTAAGATAATGCCTGTCTTGATTCTGAGAATTTTCTGGGTAGAGATGGTTGAATCTATCAAGGAAAATTTAGTATTTGTTTGTGGTTTTTTTCTGTCATAAAATAATTAAAGACAGTGGAGTTTTCCCCCATTTCTTGTCCCATCTGAATAGTTAGTTGTATGTAGTTGTTGCTGCAGATGACAAAGTTCAGTAGCACTTGCTTCTGTTTCTCTTTATGATAGGAAATTTTTGAAACACCAGCTGAGAGGAAAGAACTGTGAACTCCTATTGGTGGTGCCAGAGGAGGTGGAAGCACACCAGACCTGGAGAGCTGATGTGTGACCTGGGCTGACTCTGTCCTCCCACTACAGTTCTTCCCCTTTACCGAACTCCTGATGTCCTAAAACCTGGATAATGGGTGCCCCGACTCTTCTCGTCTGGAATTTCCTTTGTTAGGCTCTTCTCTTCCTTCCTTGGTGCAATAGGGCAATGGCGCTGGACATTGGGGGTAATGGGTGGAGAAGAACTGAGGGCAGAGCAGAGGAAACTGGAAGCCAGTTACTTTAATTACAAGGTGGGTGAGCTCCAGTGCCCTTTGGCCAGCTGGAAGGCATCATGCTCTGGAAAAACTGGGCTGGGGGAGAGTGCCTGGAAACCCCAGGCCTCCATTTCCCCATGTGGTTCAAGGCTGCATTTGGTGGGACACTGCTCCCTCCAGGGCTTGTCAGGAAGGAGCAGGGGCTGAGCATGCTGCCACCTCTTTACAGTTCTCTCCCTCCAAAACAAGTTGTCATGAAGATATTTGCAATTCCTAAGGGTCTCTCAGGACACTCAAAACACTAGGAATGGTACGGTGCTCAGCACAACCCTCTGCTTCTTAGGACTGGTTTGTGCCAGGAATTAGGAAACAATAATAAAACCAGTGTCATCTTCCAATAAATTCTTTGGGTAGCTAGAGGATTCTTCCCCAGGGTCTCCAAGGATTTATGTATGTGGTGAGCAGTTGTTTGGCAGTGTGTGTCTGGCTAAGGTGACATGGAAACAGCAAGCACAGGCTAACTGAGGAGTATCAAGTTGCTGGACTGGAGAGAGGCCACAGTCTGCTTGGGTTTCTTCACGCTATGGTGGGGTTTTTTTTACTATTTTTTAAAAGTTATTTAGGTTTTGTGTATGGTCACCCAGTACTTTAGGGGCTCCTTGGAGAGAGGAATCAAGCTGAAAAGGTTTTCAAGTAAATTAATTCCCTTTTATTTTCCTCTCTTCAGAAGTCTAGCCCACAGTCACAGATGTCATGTGAAATGAAAGAGGTCAAGTTATAAAATAAAGATGGGCTAAGGAAGGAAGCCTTTATAGCAGTCAGTTTTGCCCTTTTATTGCTACCATCCGCTGGTGTGGGAGATGCAGAGGGTCCACCAGAACTTTCAGGCATTGGAGACACCCTGGCTTGGTAGTTGAACCCAACCTCTCCTTTAGCACTGGCCAACAAACATTCCATTAATGGTTGAATTGCTTTTTCCTGCCTTCCATGGGGAAGTGAGACTAGACATGGGAGACGCTAAGGAATCTCCACCGGCTGTTTCCCAGTCACCCAGGAGAGCTGTAGCTCAGCCATACCTTCCTTGGCAGGAGGAGGAATTGCTGAATTTGGAACTGACTTCGTTGTGTTTAGCACTTCCTGGCTGAGCTGCTGTTCGCTTCCATCTTTACATGTCTTGGTTGAAAAGCAACCTCTGGGACCTGATGGAGCTCGAAGGATCCTGTTCCACCATGTGCAAGAAACTGTCATTACTGATGTTTGAGCTGGTGAAAAGGAGGGATTGTAATGACCTTTTCTCAGTTATTTTTCTCTTCAGAGCTCTGCAAACGCATGAGCAGGTGCTCGAACCTGAGAGACCACCAAAAGTGGCACCATCCCAACAGAGAACAGAGGCCACATGACGACAGGACGATGGTGTTTGCTGACCCCTGGCCATTTGGCAAGCACTTTTGCAGTCCTTTGAGCACAGCCTCCCACAGTCAAGAGCAAACTGCTCTTTTAAAAAGTCCTATTTCGTAACACATTCCAATGACCAATACCAGCTGGCAGAGTTTTTAAACACTTTCCAGGCAGGATGTTCAGCCTGCAGGCATTCTGCTCCTGACTTGAAGCCATTTCTTCAAGAGGGGAAAATATAAATCTCAACAGCAACATTTTCTATGCTGATTGAAGTTGCACTTTGGAGAAAAACCCTGTTTGCATGGAAACTGCAAGCCAATGGATCAGTGCACAATATGCAAAGATGTTTTAAAATACTTTGGGGCTGCTTTCCTCTCCTTGTGTGTCAGCTGCTTTCCCGGGGGAGAAACAGTGTGATCCAGCTGCTCAGGTAAAGGGAAAGTGTATGATCACATCCCTGTGGGAGGTGAGGCTGCAGTGCCTGAGGGTGGGTGAGCTGGTCCAGTCCCACCGCTCGGGAGCGGGGAAGCCCCTCTTTGTTTTCTTGCTTGTTTGGTTTTGTTAGAGCCTTGTCTTGGGTTTGTTTACAGAGATGTATTTTGTTTAACCAAATATTAAAAATGGAAAAAAAAAAGTTTCCATATAAATGTCCTATCACTTCTGTATGTTCAATTGAATTGTTCTGTAACAAAGGTATGTAAAGGATAAATAAATTTTTTTCTTTGGTTATAAAACCACCATGTTTCTGTGAGTTAAAAACCTTGAACGGTGGACACTGGTGCTGAGGTAAGATCACCTCCTGGAGAATTCCCTGAAGCCATGCAAGGCTTCCCCACCCCTCTGAAGGTGACAAAACCACGTCGGTCCCTTCCACACTGTGCATGAAATGGAGAGATCCCTACCCAGAAATCCCCCAGCAGCTCTGAAAGAACTGAGCCTCCCTCAAGGACATCTATTAAAACCACACTGCTCAGGTTGGATTTATTTAATATTCCATACAAAAAAATACGCAGCTGATGTCTGTTCTACTTTATGAGGCAGAGAATCTGCGTGGATGTGATCGTCTCAAACCTGGCCTGCTGCTCCCTCGGTTCTCACACACACACAGCTGCAGTGAAAGTGTTTCTGCAGACGCATCTTCCCAAAGAGTATTTTCCATGGGGTACTGATTGCACCCCTCCTTCCTCTGCTGGGAAAGTCACTCTTCTGCCACCACTGTCCTTCAGCTCCAAATCAGGCACGAAAGCATTTGTTGTGTCTGACTGCTGCTTTTCAAAGCCTGACCTGTGCCCCAGGGTGTTCTGTGGGAGCAAGAAGCTGGCAGAGGAGCTCCCCCAATCCAAGTCTGTAACTGGTTATGGCATAGTGATTGAATAAAAGGAAATACTCATGATTTCTAAAGGAGAGGGGGATGCAGACAGGAGCCATCATCAGGTCCAGAGGGGGGCTTCCCCTCCCTTGTTATGAACAGGTCAATGTCCCAAAGGAGAACCAAAAATAAAAACAAAAAATGCCCTGGCCCAACAAATCAACAGTTCAATGTATCATAATCGCAAGGTCTTCCCACTTGATATGAATCCAACTCAGCTTCCGCAAATTAGATTTTTCCAGATAGCGGAGGCAGGGCCCCTGGCATTCCCCCTGAGAGCCCTGTGTTGGGTCCAAGGAGGATCTAGAAAGAAAACAATTGGTTAAGGAGTATCAAGGACACAAGACACCTTGCCATGCTGTCCCTCCTCCCAAAGGTATTGGTGGTCCTTTGCAGCACCAGTCCCACTCCTGCTACAGCAGCTAAGGTCAGTGCCCGACCACAGCCCCCATTAGCCGCTCACAGCATATTTCCACTGGTGAAAGCCAGGTTGTGGTTGCCAGGGATTGCCTCCAGCCTGACACTATTTTTGCTGGGAATCAGCAGCATTGTACGATTAGAACATCCAGCCAGAGAATCTGGTGGGGTGAGTGAGGCCACAGTGTACAACTGTCTGCACCCCTCTCCCCAGGTTCCCCCAGCAGGTGCTCACAGCAGGAGGGGCAGGCACTTCCAGCCAACTCTGCAGGGCCGGGACAAAGGGTTGAGCCTTCCTGCCTCACCTGTCGCTGCTGCAGCTGCTGCTGTTGCTCCATCTGCAGTTTTTCGGTTTCAAAGACGACAGGAAGAACCAGAATCATGAAAGAGGTGGTCCCAATCCACAGGGCTGCCCTAGAGAATCTACCAAGGAGAAAGAAACCTAGAAATCAGTTCTCATTGGCACAATCCCGCGTTTCCCTTCCGTGCCTCAACCATAAACCTGCCTCCAAATCCAACCCCGGACTCCGGAGTGTCCCTTTATCCCCGCCCTTAGAAGCCGTCCTTAAACAAAAGCCGCGGTTCTTCCGCTCCCCGCAGGCTCCGCACTGCGCTACCAGCGGCCAAAGCCTCCGCGAAAACCGGCGGAGCCGCC